GCACTCAATAAATATTTGTCGAGTAGCTTTCCTGACATTCTGAACTTTATTTGTGGCTAGTTTTCATCAAGTCTAATATTTCAGGATCAAAATTTGCACGTTCATGTTTTGTTGGCAACATAGGATCCTTCCATCAGTTCTCCCTCAACATATTTCAAAGTTCACAGTTTTAGCTGTTGGTTTATTCTGCAGTGTGTATGTCTATCAGTAATAGTCGTTGTGAAGCTGGTAAGAGAGTTCGTTTTTATTTCCTGGATGATCCATGGGAAAAACTATAAGCAATCTCCATCTAGGATTGTCTAAGATGAGCTTTGCTAAGTTGGGTTTTTGGTAAGTTTCTGGTCAACTTTGTGTAGTGTGTAAAGTATAAACTCCTCCTAACCACAGCCCATGGGGCCTTAGGGATATGGCCTATGACCACCTCTATAACCTCATCTCTAGCCACTCTTTTCCTGGCAGATTCCAGTAATCCTAACATTCCAGCCAGCCAGCCTTCTGGTGGAACTTACCTGTTTCTGTGCTGTGTACTCTCAGTCTTACCTATCACCTTAAGGTAAACCTCCTGAGAACTGAGAATATATTAGTTCGGGTCCCTCCAGAAGCAGACCCTGTGACAAGGATTGAAGTCAAGTAGTTTGTCTTGTTCACTGAGCCTTGCACATAATAAAGGCTCTGTTCAATTGAAGGGTGAAGGTGTTTATCTGTTATGTTGCTGGAGCAAAGCTGGGTCTAAAATGTCAAGGTTCAATGCACCAAGAGGTTGCAGTTCGATTCCAGGTCAGGGCATGTGCTGGGGTTTCAGGCTCAATCTTGCTGGGGGCTGTGTAGGAGGCAGCCAATCGATCTCTCTCTCTCTCTCTCTCTCTCTCTCTTCCTCTCTAAAATTCAATAAAAAAAGTATTTTAAAATATCATGGTTCAAATATCCTTGGGGTCAAACAGTAGGGTGAAAACATTATGTTTTTCTCTGACCACTCCTACCGGCCACCACACCCACCCTGGGAAATTCCTGAGGACAGAGATCCTGGTGTCTGTCAGTGCCTGGCACACTGTCAGGGCTTGGCACACAGGAGGAACTCAACTCCCACCCCTTCATCCCAATGTGGTCCTTACAAGGCCAGTTGTTTAGCAAAATGGCTACAATGAGAAAGATGGAGAATGTTGAGCAATGGTAAGGAGGTACCACTTACGAAAGGGGGAAGTGTAGTTAGGAAAACTGGCATGCTTTACTAAGGCCACCACCTGTCTACCCCATGATAGCAATTCCGTTCCGAGATATATGCCCAAGAGAAACGAGTTCATATGTCCATCAAAAGATGTTCACAGAATAATTTCTCAGTCTTTTTATTATAGTACATGGGCTGGGACTGATGGGATGGAGTAGATGTGGGCAACCATTGCTCTGATTAGCATCAAATGCCTATCCCGATAGCCATGAATGTGCCAAAGGTGCCACCACTTGCCATCGCAGCTTTCCTGAGGCCATTAGCTTCTGACCCCACATTCCGATCCTGAGACAGAAAAAGGTGCCAAAGAGTGCCCCAGCCACCATGCCCATGGTGCAACCCATCACAAAGCCCATCTTTGCTCGGTCAAAGCAGCTTGGCTGGGACTGTCCATAGGGACCCATGGCCACTGGCATCTCCCTTATGGCCTAGTCACTCCAAGAATTATTCTTAATAGCCCCAGACAGAGAAGTGCCCAAATACCCACTGACACTAGAATGGATGAAGTGTAGTCTATTCACACAATGGAAGAGAGCACAGCCATGAGGACGGACAAACTACGGACCATGTAACAACGTGGATCTGTCTCACAAACATAGCGCTAAATGAAAGAAGTCAGAGGCAAAAATGTCTCCATGCACTTACATGAAGTATTGAACTAGACAAATGAACCTGCACTGTTACAAGTAGGGAGTGTTTACCCTTGGGGCGGGGAGGGTGGACCTGAAGGAAGTTCCTGGAGACAGAGGCGCTGTGGAAGAAGATTGAAGTGCCAGACAGGTGAGTGAAGAAGCCATCTTGGATGTCCAGCCCAGTTGAGCTTTCAAATGAATCCAGCCCCAGCCACCATCTGACCCCAAGAAGAACCACCTCACTGAGCGCAGTCAAGCATAGGACCATGAAAGACAATATTAAATTGTCATTTAAGCCACTAAGTTTTAGGATGCTTGTTACACAGCAATAGATAACCAGAACACCCAGGAAAGGCTGCAGTGGCCCTCTTAAGGTCTGACACCCCCACTCCCACAACCCCCTCACAACAAAATTAACACCAGCCAGTCATATTTTTCAGTCCCTTTAATAAGGTGCTCCGTGGAGAGGGCAGAGTGGCAGGCAGGGGGTAGAGAAGATCCAATCAGTCCTCATCTGGCAGCTGGATCTTGCTGGGGTCAAAACGGTTGGATTCCATGATGGGAAGACCATGGGCCTCTCGGTATTTTACAAGCTTTTCAGCTTCCCGGCGGGCCCACTCATGCATCCTGGAGGCAGCAACATGGGGGAGGGGAGACATGAGGAAGCCTCCCTGGACATTAATCCCCACCTTAGCTCCCCATTCCTCAACGTCAGGACAGGACTCCTGGCAGAGTCCCCTTCGACTTCCACCCCTCCCTCTGCCCCCGCCCATCCCATTCTCTTGGACACCCCATGAACCTGTAGTCAGGCAGATAAGCCACAAAGGTGGTGCCAAAGACCAAGACGATGGAGAAGCCAAAGAAGAAGACGGCCCGCATGTTCCAGACATCCACAACAGGGTCCTTGTCGTAGCCATGAGAGTCGGGGTTCTGTGGGAGGAGAAGGGAGGAGAAGAGGTCAATGAGGGCTTCCTGCTGCTCCACAAAACCTTATGCTGGCCCTGCATAAGCTGGTCTCCAATTTCACCTCGAACCAGTCTCCCCTCACTCCCTAAATTCCTCTCTTTCTGTCCTTAGGACTTGTCAAGCTCCTTCCCACCACAGGGCCTTTGCACTTACTGCTCCCTCTGCCTGGAAAGCTTTTCCCCCAGGCAGGCTTGGCTGGATCTGCCTCCTCATTCAAAGTTTTGGCTTCTCATCTTCTCTTAAGAGACATTCCCTAGTCACCTTGTCTATTAAGTTGAACTATTGGAAAGTGCCATTTTCTTTGGTCAAAAATGGTTGAATATTGGCCATTTCCTATGGTTCAACCTAATAAAATTACCCCCTACCCCCAAGTCACTCTCGATCCATTTATCCTGCTTAACATTCTTTCTAGCATTTATTAGTTTACCAAAGTAGCATCCCACAGATCCTGTATATCATATTATCTTATGATACCAATTACATGTTCTATATTACCATTTTCAGGTATTTTACATATTTATCCTCTGTGTTTCCCACTATCATATAAGCTCTATAAGAGCAAGGGCTTTATCTGATTTCTACACTGCTGGACCCCCAGGGCCCTGAACTGTGCCTGGCATCCAGTAGGCCCTCAATACATATTTACAGAATGAATGGATGAATGAATGAGCATCCTATATATCCAAGCCCCTCAACCAGAGATTAATATTGATGAAGTACCTCTTATGTGTCAGGCCTTTTCACATACACAGACTTCACAATATCCCCGTGAGTTGGAAAATGGCAATAATAAGTAACACCTTCTAAATGCTGAGTACTTACTAAGTGCCAGATGCTGTTCTGAGCATTTCGACTCATTTAATTATACGATGCAGGTTTAGTATTTTTAAAAAAGTGTCCTAATACTTTTCCCACTTTACAAAGAAACTGAGGCACTAAGGGGTTAAGTTACTTCCCAAGGTCACTTAGGTGAGTAACTGCCAGTGCCTGTATTCCAACCCAGGCATTCTGATTTCAGAGCCTCTGCTATCACATAGCACAGAACTGGGAGACCTAAGTTCAAATGTGTCCTGCCGCACATTCAGTTATGCGAACTTGGGCAAGTCACTTGGCATCTCTGTGCTTGTTTCCTCATCTGTACAGTGAGTATACTAACAGGACCTAAGAGACAGGGTTGTTTGGAGGATCAGATAAGTTAATGCATGTAACATGTTTAAAAGACTAGCACCGCAAAAGCGTCCTATCAGGTTTGATACCTTTCTGCAAAATAAGGTCAGTCTCGCCTCTGGCTCTGAACAGAAGATAACACGGGGAATTGAGGAGAATAAGTCACGAAAAATACCCAAGTCTTCGAGGGTTTACCAGTTGCGCAATCCTCAACCGCCTAAGAAAGTCCTCTACGGCGCCCCGTCCACCAGCCCCGGATTGACCCTACCGGCGTCCCGTTTCCCCTCTCTCACCTTCTCATAGAGGTTTTCGTCCTCGGGTTCTGGGTCCTCCTGCCAGTGCACTGTCGGTTCCGGCGCCCGCTTTCCCACCGCAGCGGACGGAGCGATGACAGCCCTAGCAGAGCTGGATTCCCAGCGAACCGGGGCAGCCAGGCGCCCTCGCGTCGCCGCTGCTGCCAAAAGGCGGCGAGCGTACAAACCTAACAGTCCGGGCGCCATGACAGACGGTTGGGCAGGCTCTCAGGGGCGGAGACGGAAATGGAACTCTGCGCAGCCGCAGTGGACCCGGGCGCGCTGCTTGTCGCTCCGCCCCCTTCGCACGAAATAGGTCCCAGTCTGTCTAATGTTCTCACGTGACTTAAAGCATTGAGTGGCCCTTTCTCCTCCCTGTGGCACAGCCTCATTAGAGCAACCATTTCCTGATTGTCTCGGTTAAAGCTATGGGAGTTCTGCCCGAGCAGCCTTTCAGGTCTGCTCCTTTCCCTGGTGAGAAGAAAGCGATGACATTTGGGGTGGGAGGGTGCAATTCCCAGCCAATCGCACCGGGTTTCCCTTGCCCTCCGTGCAAGAGGCAGAGCTTCCGCTTGGCTTTCATCTTTGAAGGAAGCTAAGCGTCTAAAAAGCGGGCCTCGCCCGATTGGCCAATAACTACTCCTCTTCTCCACTAGCAGGCGTTCGCACGGGGCTGGGGGCCGGGGAGGTGGCAGTCGCTTGCCAATGAGAGCAGCCAGGGGCTGGCCGATGGCGGAGGGCGACCAATAGACGCGGCCAGCCAGAGCGCGCTCCCTCAGTAGGTGGATGGTGGTCGGAGCGCCGGCTCCCTGCTCCTGGTCGCCATTTTGTGCTGGTGGTTGCGGCTAGCGGGGAGTAGGCGGCGGCGGGGCTCCCCGGGAGGGCAGCGCGCTCGGCGCTTCGCCCCTTCCTCCCTCCGCCTTGCTGCCTCCAGCTTTGAACTTGGTGGTTGCGCGAAGCGGCTCCTGCTGAGCTGGGCGAGTTGGTGGAGGAGGCTGAGGGCCGAGGTGATGTCAGGGAGCCCTCCCTTGACAGCCCGAGCCGAGGTGAGCATCGACCTCCGCGGGTCGTGGGGGCGGAGGGAAGGGGCCGGGGGCCGGAGGCCGGGGGGTGCATGCACAAGGTGAGCGTGCGGACTGCGGGCCGCGGCCCGAGGAACGCGTGCGCGGTCTGAGCCTGGGAGGGGTTGTCTTTAATTTTGACTCCTTTTGAGAAACAGGGGCTCGTGCGCGATCCGGGCGCAGGATGGGTGCACGCGGGTTGGGGGAAGGGAGAGACGGATGGGAGTGGGCTGCTGTGGTGTCTGCGACACGGAACTTTCTCCGTGGGGAGGCAGGTGTCTGCGACTTTGTTTCTTATCTACAGGCGTGGGGATGTGTTGCCTGTTCTGTGTGACTTTGGTACTTAATCTGTGCGTGGGAAAGTGTTCTGTGCCTCGGGTCCTTAGGAGTTGGAGGAGGAGGAGGAGGGAGAACGGAGAACATCTCTGTGACCCTGGTCTTTATCCTTGGAGTGTGTGTCTAACTCTGGTCCCTCCCTGTTCCTGGGAGAGGTCTTTATCCATAAGGAGTCTTCTGGCGACTGGCCCTAACCTGCCTCCAGGGCAGGGAGGGAATGCAAGGAAAGGGTGTGTGACTTATTGCCCCTTCTTGGAGGGCTGTCTGTCTGTGACTGTGATGTTCATCCATTGAAATGGGGTGCTGATGGCCCGTATTATTGTGGGTTCCTGTCTGTGATTTTGGCCCATCGTTATTTGGGGCGCGTGTCTGACTAGCCCCCATCTGTTGTGGATTCCGGTGTGTGACTCTGGCCCCTTTGCCAGAGTCTAATGAGGGTTTTGTATGGACACTTATCCACTGGGGCCCCTGGTTGTGATTCTAACTCTTACCCATCTAGGAGGAGGTAACTCTGGTTCCCTGTGGCCTGAGGAGGAAGAGAACATTGGGGTGTGTGTGTATTCATGGAGGAAAGGTGTGGTGGCAACCTAGTGCTGGGTAGGTGCTGTTACTGCCTGGATTTGCCTAATTGCTGTCCAGAGGGCAGGCCTGAAGATTCTGGGATACTGCCTGGTGACCCCTGGCCAGGTCACATGGCTCTCAGGACTTCCTTGGATCTCAAGCCCCGAGGGCTGGGTGAAATGACCGCCCTTCTGAGTAGAATAGCACAGTGCTTGGGAACAGCCCCCGACAGGGCTCCTTTTGCCTCTGAATAACTTGGGCCCAGAACCCTAGGGAGAGCTGCCTTGGGACCTGGCTGCACATAAGAGACAGCACTCAGGGCTGAGCCAGTTGCCCTGTGGAGGGCCAAAGCTGTGTTGGCCAGGAGCCCAGGGAGGCGGCAGCTGTCTCATTGCCAAGTTAGCCCCTTCACCACCCCCTAAGCCTTTCCTGGTCTACTGCTGTCTTGTAAGGGGCAGCCAGCATCTTGTTGGGAGGATGAAGGGGCACCCGGGGGCCCATGGCAGGAGCCTGGTGGGCGCCTGGGACTGCTCCTGTGCAGTCTCGCATCCATGCCTCATGTGCCTGATCTCTAACAAGTCATTCAGCACCCAGAGCTCCCGTAGGCAGGTAGCTCCGGCCTTGAAGGTGTCTACCAGTTTCAGATGTCAAAGCTCCGATCACAGAATGGGCGATACCACCAGGTCTCTCTCTCTGCAGGATGCTCCGTGTCTGCTGAAGGCCTTGATCGTCCTAGGGCAGTGAGCTCTAGCCTCACGTTTGTGGGGAAAGGAAAGGAGCAGACCAAGTAGGGGCCCTGGAGTTGAGAAACAACGTCCCTGGACCAAGAGACAGCAGAGAGCCTTGACAACAAGTGTTTCTCAAGGAGGCCCTCTCTGCCCCAACTGCTTTGACCCCTTTCTTCCTGCCTCTCTCCCCAGAGTCCCTGCAGGAGGCATCACCCAGGCTGGCAGATCATGGTGGCAGCAGCGGGAGTGGCTGGGAAGTGAAACGGAGCCAGCGGCTGAGGAGGGGCCCTAGCAGCCCCCGAAGGTCCTATCAGGACATGGAGTATGAAAGACGGTGAGTTACCTGCTTCCGCCTTGACCAAACAGCCTAGGCTCGTCCCCGTGTGAAGAACTGATCCAGGAAGGTACTAGGAGGAGGCTCTCAGGCTGAGGAGACAGTGTGAGCCAGGACCAGTGTGCTAGGCTCTGGGAGTGCCCCAGTGAATGAGGCAGAAAAGACTGCAGCCTTCTCTCTATTACTCGGGGTCTCACAGCAGAGCCCACACAGTTTACAGGTGATTCCGAAACAGTTGGATGGGTGCCACAGTTGTGAGGGTAGGAAGGGATCAAGAGAAAGGTGTTTCTAGTTTGGGGGACCCAGATAGGTATATGGTGCCATTCGCCAAGGTCTGAACAGCCACTGTGGGAGGAGAGGCAGAGATGGGTAGTGGGTTGTAAGTGCCTGTGGATTCTCGGCAGAGGTGTGAGCTGTAGCTTTGGGTTGAAGGGATGGATGAGAGTGGTGCTTTCAGAGTCAGGAATTTGCCAGGACAAGTATGGGGCAAGCCAGGTCAGATGGTGGGAGATTTCAGAGGCAGAGTGGGCTGAAGTTGGCATGATACTTGCCTTGGAATGGGGCACTCATGTAGTTATTTTTAAACTCTGGTAGAGCAAGAAACAGTTGGGACACTTGATAAAATACAGACTTCCCAGGCCATTCCCTCACCATCCTGCTGTATCACCCCAGTTTATTCTAATGAAGGTGATCTATTCTTTACATATTAGGATTACGTAGGAAAGCAGACCTCTATTAAGAGTCAGTAGATTTATAAAAAGTCAGGAAAAAATATTTTTTAATGTCCTGCAAGGGGCTTCTTCTACCAACAGGCCCTTTTAAAAATGTAGAATTAGCCCTGGCCAGTTTGGCTCAGTGGGTAGAATGTTGGCCCGTGGACTGAAGGGTTCTGGGTTTGATTCTGGTCAAGGGCATGTACCTTGCGTGTGGGAGGCAGCCAATCAATGTGTCTCTTTCACATCTCTCTCTGTGTCTCTTCCCCTCCCTTCCACTCTCTCTAAAAATCAATGGAAAAATATCTTCGGGCGAGGATTAAAAAACAAAAAAAGTTGCCGAACCGGTTTGGCTCAGTGGATAGAGCGTCGGCCTGCGGACTCAAGGGTCCCGGGTTCGATTCCGGTCAAGGGCATGTACCTTGGTTGCGGGCGCATCCCCACTGGGGGGTGTGCAAGAGGCAGCTGATCGATGTCTCTCTCTCATCGATGTTTCTAGCTCTATCCCTCTCCCTTCTTCTCTGTAAAAAATCAATAAAATATATTAAAAAAAAAGTAGAATTATAATATTTTGTTTTCTGAAAAGTGAAGCCCACATTGAGATGTGTTATTCAGCTTGACCTTCTTTCTAAATGTCTTTCGAAAGGCATTTGATTTTGGATGGGATTCGCTAGAAGTGCTCTGTGGCCGTTTCTGAGTGGAAGTAGGTGACATAACTTGCCTGCTTCAGACTTTATTACCAAATAAAGCCACTGGCTTTCTTTTTTGGGCTTTTAAAGGACCTCAAGTGCAGAGGTTTGAGTTAATCACGCTTGTCTAGTTCACAGTAAGTTTCTATCGTAGGTCAGTACAAAGGCCTTCTCTTGCCTTATCTTTCCCTTTTTAGTCCCAATTCCCGTAGCTGTAGGCAGCTTCTCTGTCGTATTTGAAATGTATTCTTTGAAAATATCTAGTGTTGTTTAGAGTTGTCTGTGTTTTCACTTTCCACAAATGACACAGTGTTATAGTCTTCATTTCCCCCCCTGAACTTTGTATAACTCAGCACTGCATTTTTTAAAACGATCTGTCTGTATTGCCATGTGTATATTAGTGTTTTGCTTCTAATTGGTCCCAAAGACACCATAGGATATGCCTCCTGCATTTTGCTTAATGATTCCCCCAAGGATGGATACCTGCTCTTAATTTGAGGGCACTAAAATTCATCATCACTTTTTTGTCTTATAATCTGTGCTTTCAGAATCTTCTGTGTTCCTACCTCTGGATTGCAACAATTGTTTTCACTGTATAGTTTTACCTTTCTCATTCAGGTCTTTAAATTCAGTTTTGAATATGGTATAAGGTAGATTCTGGTCTTATTTTCCTTCATATAGTGGGCAGTTTCCCTAGTACCATCTCCTAAATAGTAGTACCTCATCTCATTTCAAGTTACCTCATGTACATGGGTCTGTCCTGAGCGATCTAATTTGTTTCATTGATTTACTTGTTCTTTCTTGTGCTAGAACCTTACTGTCTTTATTATTATGGCTTTATAGACTGTCTTTTTTAAAAAAATATATTTCATTGATTTTTTACAGAGAGGAAGGGAGAGAGATAGAGAGCTAGAAACATCCATGAGAGAGAAACATGGATCAGCTGCCTCCTGCACACCCCCACTGGGGACGTGCCCGCAACCAAGGCACATGCCCTTGACCAGAATCAAACCTGGGACCCCTCAGTCCACAGGCCGACGCTCCAGCCACTGAGCCAAACTGGTCAGGGCTAGAATGTATTAATAGCTCCCACTTTGCTCTTATTTTTCAGAGTTGATTTAGCCAAGTCTCTCAAAAACATTTAAGAATTTTTATTGAGGTTGCATTGAATTGATATATTAATTCAGGGAGTATTGTCAGTTTTGTTGCCTTTCTCTTCTCCTCCTCTCCCCCTTCCTTCTTGCTTCCTCTTCCCTCTCACCCCCTCCTCCCATATAACATTTCCCCCCCCACCAATCATTTGAGTTAGTGGCAGACATGACCCTTAAGTACTACAGCATGTATGTCGTAAGAACAAGGACTTTTTCCCTCCATAACCACAGTACACTTGTCAATATCAGGAAATTTAATGTTGATGCAATACTTTGTCTTATATAAAGTCCATATTCAGAAGTTATCAGTTGTCCCAATAATGTCCTTTATAGCTGTTTCTCCCTAGGCCAGGATCCAGTTCAAGATCACACACATTGCATTGAATTTTTAGTCTCCTTTAATCTGGAAGAGTTATTCAGTCTTTCTTTGCCTTTTATGACCTTGATATGTTTCAAAAGTACAGGTCAGTAAAGTACAACATCAGGAAACCTATATAATAAAGAGGTAATGTACAGATTGACCATCACACCCTCGCACAAGATGGCTGCCCCCATGTGGTCAGAGATGGCCAGCAGGAGAGGGCAGTTGGGGAGGACTGAGCCAACAGGGGTGGGCAGTTGAGGGCGACCAGGCCTGCAGAGGAGGGCAGTTAGTGGCGACCAGGCTGGGAGGGGAGGGTAGTTAGGGGCGACCAGGCCTGCAGGGGAGGGCAGTTGGGGGGTGACCCAGGCCTGCATGGGATGGTAGTTGGGGGCAACCAGGCCTGCAGGGGAGGGCAGTTGGGGGTGACCAGGCCGGCAGGGGAGGGCATTTGGTGGCAATCGGGCCGGCAGGGGAGCAGTTAGGCATCGATTAGGCTGGCAGGGGAGTGATTAGGCGGTGATCAGGCTGGCAGGCAGAAGCGGTTAGGGGCAATCAGGCAGGCAGGCAGGTGAGCGGTTGGGAGCCAGCAGTCCTGGATTGTGAGAGGGATGTCCGACTGCCGGTTTAGGCCCGATCCCACAGGGCAGTCGGACATCCCTCGAGAGGTCCCAGATTGGAGAGGGTGCAGGCTGGGCTGAGGGACACACACACCCCAGTGCACAAATTTCATGCACCGGGCCTCTAGTATAGTCAATAATATTGTGATAACTATGTAGTGGATATGGTACCAGGTAGGTACTGGAAATATCCAGGGGGAACACTTTGCAAAGTACAGTGGAACCTCGGTTCTCAAACTTAATTCCTTCCAGAAGGCTATTTGAGAAGTGATTTGTTCGAAAACCAAATAATTTTTCCTATTAGAAATAATGTAAATTGAATTAATCTGTTCCATACCCCCAAATGATTCCCTGTTTTAACCTTTCTTATATACAGTACATGTCTAATGTACTCTTTAATCTATAAACAAACACTTCTTTTCTTAAATTTATCAAACCACCCTACTAGCCTTAAACGAATCACTTTTAGCACTCGGTCCAGGTCAGCATGCAGCATCTTTGCTTGCTCATATATCACTGCCTCCGTAATGCTGACTGCTTTTTATTTCTCCAAATCAACAACAGTTTTTCTACCTCTTCAATTGTCTGTGATCATTGTTTCTTTCACGCCCTTAGCAACATTACCAATCTTTAAAAAAAATTTATCTTTATTGCTACAAGTATTACAGATATCCTCTTTGTTTGTGGGGTTTTTTCCCCATTGACCCCCTCCACCTCATACCCACCCCTCCCAGGCCTTCACCTCTCTATTGTCTGTATCTATGGGTTTTGATCAGATGGAATCAATGGACATTTTCGGAACATTTCACCCCAAAGCTACAGAATATACATTCTTCTCAAGTGCACATGGGACATTTTCATAGACCACATGTTAGAACACAAACTAGGTCTCTACAAGTTCAAGAAGATTGAAATATCAAGCATCTTCTCAGATCACAATGGCATGAAATTAGAAATCAATTACAGTAAAAACATTCAAAAACATTCAAACATATGGAGGCTAAATAGCACGTTATTAAATAATGAATGGGTTACCAAAGAGATTAAAGAAGAAATAAAAAAACATCCTGGAAACAAATGACAATGAACACACACAACAACCCAAAATTTATGGGACACAATGAAAGCAGTCCTGAGAGGCAGTTCATAGCATCACAGCCCTACCTCAAAAAACAAACAAAAACAAACTTTTAATAAGTTATCTAACCCTACAACTTAAAGAATTAGAAAAGAAATCGAGAAAAGCCCAGAGTAAGCAGAAGGAAGGGAATAATAAAGATCAGAGTGGAAATAAGTGACATAGAGACTGAAAAAAAAAGATCAATAAAACCAAGAGCTGGTTCTTCGAAAAGATAAACAAGATTGATGAACCTGTAGCCAGACTCATCAAGAAAGAGAGAAGACCCAAATAAACAAAATCAGAAAAGAGAGAAGTAAAATAACATTACCACTCTTGGTGGCCTCTT